GTGTGGACTTCAACTCCCAGAATTCCCATGCTGGCTGGGGAATTCTGGGAGTTGAAGTCCACACATCTTAAAGTTCCTGAGGTTGAGAAACACTACTCTAGCCCATACAGAAACATATGACTCTCTTCTCACTTTTAGACTACAAAAACATTTCAACGATTGGTGAGGGTTGCATTAACCTCACATTGATATGACATGGATCTCATTTTTTTCTCTGTTCGTTTCTTTTTCTTCTTTGTGTTCAGTTTACCTTAATCACTCTAATATAGGTGGCTTTTTTTAGTCTACAACGTCTGAGGTATCTGTTTTTCATTCTTCTAGTCCGTCCGTCCATCCATCCATCCATCCACCCATCCATCTATCTATCATCTATCTATCTATCTAAATACACACACACATTGTTTGAGTCAGGCCTTAGAAATCCAATAATTAAATAAATAAATAAATGCATGGGTGCACCCTCTTTCTCCTATAAATATAAAAATTTAAATATAAAAAGCATCTTAGTGCCTATGCTTCCTTTCTGTATTCCTGATTCTCTTCCTCCCTTCTTCCCTTGGCTGGTTTCTTCCTGGTTTTAATGCACAAATTCTTCAGTCCTCTGGGGCCAAAAACGGCGTCCACAGCTCCCTTGGTGGGAGGTGGCCGTGGCTCCTGGTCTTCGGTGTCCCCCCTCCCCTCCTCCTCCTCCTCCTCCGACGTACCTTCCAGCTGTTGCCAAAGGCTGCTTCCGACAGGCTCAGGTGCCCCGACCGCATGCGCAGATCATCCTGGGGGTAGCTGTTGAAGTTGCCACAAAGTCCGCACAGGCGCCCTTTGTACGTGCCGGGCACGCTGACTTCCAGGTGGGAGCGCCCGTTCCAGAGCACCTGCAGAGAAGGGGAGGCAGAAGTGGTCTTCAACACCTGGAGCGTGGGGGGTGGGTTTACTCGCTGTTGTCCCGCAGGGCAGGACCAGAACCAGGGGAGCCAAGAACGAGGAAAGAGTTTCAGGCTTGACGTTCCTGGCCGCGTGAGCTGTGCGCTGGTGGAACGGGCTGCCACGTGATGTGGTGAGTTCTCCTCACTAGTCTTCAAACAGAAGATGACACTCTGGTGGATCCTGCCCAGGGGTTGGACTAAATGGCCTCTGAGGAATCTTCCCGTTCTGTGATTCTCCATCAATATGGTTACGGTTA